CAAAGGGGAGGAAGCCATGATCAGAAGGCAAATGTGGGGAGAATTATGGAGTTTGGGCAATGTTCTTTCCTTTGACGAGCCCTAGTGAAATGGGTGATTGCTTTATAATTATTTGTTAAACTGTGCACACATGTTTTATACCCTTTTCTGTATGTGTGCTCTACATTCCATTTTTAAATGTTAAAAAGAAATACAATAAAATCAATGAAATTTCTTGCACTTCAAATACTGGAAAGCCAAAGAGAACTGGAAGCGAAGAGGATTTGGCAAGATGGCAGAACCATGGTCTTTTCCACCAGCCTCTCTTCCTCCCACTATGAGGGTAGTCTGTGGGAGATCTAAATTTACTTAGCAACAGGTTGCTAGCCTCTAGAACCGTCTTCATGGGGTGCTTCCACCGGCTTCCTACCCGAACTGCCTGGTGTCTAAGCCCAGAATGTTTATTCCTCAAGGACTCCCAGACCCCACCCCCAGTCCCCACACAGGCCTCCTAGGGCACGGGGAGGAAGCGGATATGGCCTCACCGTTTCCATGGGAACACATGCTCTCATAAACAGAGTTCCTGGAGGGGCCAGGGACGGAGTCTCAATATGAAGAGTCACTTACCAGGCTGGCAAGAAGCCAAGGGCCCCCAGGCTGAGGAAGACCAGGGTGGGGAGAGCCCTGGGATTGGCGCTGGGAGTGCCCTGTTGCTACACTGACCAATCTGGGCCACGGGAGACTCAGGAAGACTCTCAGGCTCTACTGAGAAAACATCCAGACTAGATTTTTTTTTTATTATTGTAGTAAAATACACATAACATAAAATTTATCATCTTAACCATTTATAAGGGCACAGTATAGTGACATTAAGTACATTCACACTGCTGTGCAACCATTACTACCACTCATCTCCAGAATTTTTTCATCATCCCAAAAGGAAGCTCTGGACCCATGAAACAATGATGCCCCATTCTTCCCTACACACAGCTACTGGCGACTATCCTTATATTTTCTCTCTCTATAAATTTGATTACTATTGGGGCACTTGGGTAGCTCAGTCGGTTAACTGTCTGACTCCTGATTTCAGCTCAGGTCATGATCTCAGGGTTGCGAGATGGAGCCCCACGTCTGGCTCTGAGCTCAGCTGGGGGTCTGCCTGCCCCTCTCCCTTTGCCCCTCCCCCTGCTTGTGTGCGAGTGCTCTCTCTCTAAATAAATAAATAAAATCTTTAAAAAATTGATTACTAGAACTATCTCATATAAGTCGAGTGCAATATTCATCCCTTTGTCTCTGGATTTTTTCACTTAGCACAATATCTTCAAGGTTCATCCACACAGCAGCATGTATGAGAATTCCCTTCTTTTTTAAGGCTGAACAATATTCCATTGTATGTATAGGCTGTATTTTGTTTATCCATTCAGCTGTTGATGGACACTTGGGTTGCTTTGGCTATTGTAAATAATGCTGCCGCTGTAGACGAAATGTTTTTGTCTCTCCAAAATGTGTGTGTTGAAATCTGATCCCCAATATATCAGTATCCGGAGGTGGGGCTTTTGGGAAGTGATGGTTATGAGGGCACAGACTTCGTGAATGGGATTAGTGCCCTTATAAAAGAGGCCCCAGAGAGCTCTTTGCCTCTTCTTCCAAGTGAGGTTAGAGTGAAAAGATAGACATCTATGAACCAGAAAAGAGCCTCTCATCTGACATCGAATCTGTCAGCATCTTGATGTTGGACTGCCTAGCCTCCAGAACTGTGAGAGAGAAATTTCTGTGCTTTCTTAGCCCTCAGTCTATAGTATTTTGTTATAGCAGCCCACACAGACAATGATCATTAGAGAGGGCAGGACAATGAACCAACCGAGACCAGAGAGACCCACGAGCCCCAACTCTACTTCTAACCTGCTGTCTGTGACGTCATGGCCCTTTTGGCATGGACATCTGGGCAGAAATGCAGTGTGGCATTCCAGGCCATGGGCCTCCTCAACTCACCCCAGCCTCGTGGAGCACCAGACACGTTCACTGCAACGATAAGACAGAGACTCAGTAGTTAAATCTGAAAAAGTTCTCAGAGTTGAAAGAGTCTGTTGGAAACCGATGGGACGCAGCACACAAGATGTTTGGAAAACGTTTGTGTTTAATAGTCAGGCAAATGTTTCAAACTAAACTTCTACAAATTAGAGATAAGATACCTAAGAAGCCAAATACAGGGGAGGAGGAGATATGGAGGTATAGGACCCACCGTTTGGGCACAGCACAGAGATGATAATAGTTCCAGAGCTAAAGAGCTTAAGGTCCCAAAAGAAGAGGCCAGAGGAGGCTCTGTGTGAGTCAGAGGGAGGCAGAGAGGAGAAAATGGGTGCAAGCAAGCTGTCCTCTTGTCTCAGGGAACTTCCTCCCGCTTCTGTCCCTAGATCTCCAGAAGAAGCTAGTCAGGGCATTTGAACTGGGAGGAAGATGCATGGAAGCAATTGGCTGGGTGAAGAGTGTGGAGGGGGACTTCACAGGGACCATGAGCAGCAGGGGGCAGCGTGCTCTGTGACTGTGAAGTGGTCCTTTCCCACCAGCCATTCCTGACTCTGGTCAACTTCTTGAGCAGATTCCCAACTCTTGAGTCCTCTGCAGTATAAAAGAAAATCGGGTGCAGCTTGGAGTCAGGGTGACACCCATTTCGTCTCCTCCCCCAGGCTGGCCAGTTCTGCCACAGAGAGCTGCCACGGTGGGGGTGGGGGCAGGCATGGCCACATCTTTCTCTCCTCCCCTCCCTCTTCAGGACCCTTTCTTCCTTGGACCATTGGAGTGAGGAGGATGGAAAAAGACCCTATCTCCTATAGGACGGACACTGTTGTCCTCCTCTTACCTGCTGCTGCTTTTCAGGCTGGACTTGCCCAGCTTCGAGGCTCTCCGTGGCAGGTGGGTCCCATGGGTATGTGTGTGCATCCTTCGGGATTCTGTGAAGGAACAGGCAGGAACCTGCTTACTCCATAGCTCCCCATCAAGGGCAACCCCCTGATTCTACCTCTTCTGAGCCCCTTGCTCCAGTCCCTGTGGTCATCCTACAGTCTTTCCCTGGGTTCCCCTGCCTGGCAGGTAGCCCTCTTCACTGGGGCTTTAAGCCCTTCCAACTTCTAGGCTTCCACTTAGGCCATAGAAAACCATATATTCTTGCTCTACCACACTGTGGGAAGCCAGAAGCCCCCAAGGCACTCTGTCCCACTGGTTGTCTTCTTGGCTCAAAGAAGCATAAGCTTGGATGCTGGTTGTCTTTTCTAGGACAACAAGCAAACTCCTACGCAGCATCCTGTTAAACTGACATTTTTTCTTGAGAGGGTAATTTAGAACAAGCAAATGTCCTCTAGTTGACAGCTCACTAGGAAGAAGACAACATTTCATTTGCTTAGTGTCTGGCCATTAGAGTTGTGCTTTATTGAGTCCAAAAGGAGGGTTTTAGAATATAAAAAATGGGAGCCTATTTTGTACTATGTGGTGTAGACTATAGTCTTCTTGTCCGGGTGTGGCTCCCAGGAGGTAGGAAAGGACAGGAGGGGCGAGAGAGGACCAAAGGCTTAAACAGGGGTGAGGGGACTTTGGGAGGCCAGGATCCCAAACTAACAAGGACTACTCATTCCCTGTACTGGAAGAAGCCCTAAGGTTCCTCAATGGGGATTTCCTTAGAAGAAAACCAGGCTGTTTCTCCTGGGGCCTGGTCTAAGTGGGCTAACCATAAGTCATTGGAGGGACAGTGGCAGGGGGGTGTGGGCAGGGAGGTGTCTAACTGCTCTGGCCACTGTGAGAAATAGGATGGGAGATGCCTGGCCTGGGAGCTGTGGTGGGAATTCCAGCGGGCAGGTCTGGGTCCGGATCGGGGTGCACATGGGAAAGATGAGAAGTGGATGGAACAGAGAGGTGTTAGGAGGCAGTAGTGGGAAGTGGGGAGTGGGGAGAGGGATGAGTAGGGGCATGGGGCTGATGGTGGTGCCTGAGCCAGGGAGAAGAAAAAGACCTGGGTGCGCCCATGCAGGGGATAGGACAGGGAATACCAGGCAAATAAAAAAAGAATCTTTACAGAAATTAACTGTGGGTGTGGAAATTGCAACCCAGACCCAAGTCAGACAGAGAAACCTGCTAGAAATGCAACACTGGGCACAAAGTAGCTCTTCATAAAATATTTATTTTTCACAGAGGAGAAGGAACCCTTTTGAAATGTGAGGTACAAATGAAAATGGCTTCACATCCCCTCTGAGCTTTGCTCAGAGGCTCCTGAGAGGGCTCCATTATTAAAATAAATAACTCCGTAATAGGTTGAACAATAAATAAATTGTTACATAAATAGGATTGTCAATGAGATCTGTGATGGAGTGGAGCATTCACTGGCATATCAAGGAGGAGGGTTGGAGACCCAGGATCTGAGCCCAACTCTGAGCCCTTGGCATGCGGAGGCCCGGACTAAGGTTTACTGCACGAGGCTTTGAAAGTTCCTGGGCACTTCAGTAAGCGCATCAGGAACTCATCCAGGGCTTCCAGAAAGACTCTCAGCTTCCCTGAGAACTCGTTAAAATCTTCTGCTTGGATGTACACTTCTCCCTTGGAAGAAATGAGAAATTTGGGTCAGGTGAGAAGGAGGTAGAAGGGATGTGGCAGGTTCTACGCTCGGTCTGGGCACCTTACCTGGGATAGGGGCGTGGGCATGGGCAAGGTTTGCAGGAATCTCTGTGGACCAGAGACAAGAAGAGCCAGTTAGTCAGCCTTTTGGGGAAACCCAGGAAGGCAACAGGGGTCTCACTAGGAGCTCCCCCTGCCGGTGACCGTACCCAAGAAGGGACTAGGTGACAACTCTGTCCCCAGCCATGGAGGGGCTGGCGGCAGGGGAGGAGGTAGGAGCTCAGGGGCAAGGGTGAAAACGCTGCCACTCTTTGAGAAAAGGGCAAGACAAGGCCACGCACTCTGACCCGGAGTGGGCTCCTTTGGGGTCCTGGAGACCCAGTGCCAGAGAGACCCTCCCCAACCTCACACACCTCCAGCTCCTCCAAATTTTTACTGACGACTAAAGACTCATTAGAACCACTGACGATCTCCTTTGAGATGATCCGGAAGGCAGCCAGGTTAGACGTCAGAAGCCTATCATTCTGTAGGACAAAGAGTGATGAGGGAGGGCTCGGGAGGGGCTGTCCTTCTCATGGTCTTGGGTGGCATCCTTCCTGCCTCCTTTCTGGGATGCCTTCACCAGCACCCTCCACCACCTCCCCTAGCTTTCCGCATCGGCGCCCTGTCCGGCCCCAGACCAGGAAGAACCCAGCCGCCCCAGGAGCACAGCACCTGAGCTGGTCGCAGCACATTCTGGCAAAGCCCAGTCAAGGCAGGGCCTGTCCCACCCACCACCTGGCTCTCAGACGGGCTGCGGAAGGAGCGTGGGTGACCGGGGAACTTCATGAACCAGCCGCCAGAAGAACCCAAAGGGATGGAGGCCAGCTTTGGCAACATACCATTTTAGAATTCCCCTACTTGGAAATAAACATCCACTATGCAACCCGCGCACGAGCCAAAGAAGAGGCTAATGGAAGTATCTGCACTTAAGATGCCAGATAAAGGATTCAGGCCCAGGTGTGACCATCAGGGGCGCCTGACCCAAACGCACCCCAGCCCAGGGCAGGGACCAGCCACACAATGGCAGTCCCTGGCAGGGAGATGGTGGGCCCTGGCACCTGAGCTCTCACCTGCAGCTCCAGCCGCAGATTAATGTCTTCAGGAGTCTGCAGGGGGAAAGAGAGAGAACCATAAGTGCCTCTGGCTTGAGGCTGCCAGGCTGCCCCTGCCCCTGCCCATGCCCAGGGGGCCACCAGCTACTCACAGAGCTAGGGTTCAGCTTAGAGCAGATTTCAGAGATGCCACTCCAGTACCTGCAGCACTGAGCCTGGGCGCCGGGGCTTGTCAGGGGCACGGATCTAGGGAGGCCGCGGGGAAGGAAGACGAGGAGAAGCTGAAGGCACAGGGAGCTGCACATCTTGAGTTTCTGGGAGCTGCACATCTTGAGTTTCTGGGAGCTAACGTGATCCTCCCTGGCTGTAGGGCATCTGGAGTGGCCTGGCCTGCTTTCTCTTTTATAGACCCACTGGGGAGAATGGGGGGTGGGGCGAGGCGGGAAACAAGGTGGTGGGGGATGTCCAGAGAAGCCCCAGATGGGCTGATACCCTTTTCTGATAGGGAACCTCCATGACAAACTTATCAACTTATTCATCATCTTCTGGAACTTGTGATCAGTAAAATTTGAAAAACATTCTCAAAGGGTTTTGCCTCACCTCACCAAGGAAGATAAGAGCCGCTGCTCACTGGACAGAGTGGGCAACCTGGCTCTGAGCTCACCTGGGCCTGCTTGTGCCCCTCCCCAGCCAGGATCTGGTCCTGCTGTCCCCTGGACAGCTGTGACCCTCTGCCAGCCACCCTTCCTGGCCTCCCTTTCTCTGCCTGTGAGGCAGCCAAGATTCTGCCTGGCAACCTCATCTTCATGGCTAACCGCCTGCGTGAAGGCTCAACCACCTAGAAGAGCAGTTCGTGAGACCCTGGAACACTGTGTTACTAGCATCTAAGTCACCCCACAGTTTTGGGGCAGCTACATTGTGAATGGGGAGTGTGGGGCTGAGGGCCCTGTATGTCTGTCCCTCACCTGGCTCCTGGCTTTATCAACATAATAGGAATGCATGTCCCAAATCTTTGTGTTCTACGTGGGCAACAAGAGAGTGGCAGGCACTGAATGCACATACGTTTGTAAATAACAAGAATGACATGGTTGCCCCCTGTTATCAGATATCAGAGCTGAGGCTAAGAGACTTGAGATTGACAGATAGAACGTCTGCATTCCCACACCCAGCTGTGCTTCCTCTGTAATAGGTCTGGCTCCGGGTCAGCCTTCAGAGGGCTTAGCTTTCCCTTCCTCAGTCTTCCCCAGTTGTCCAGGCGGGGTGAGGCTGCCCCATTTCCAGACTTTCTCCTCGTCAGGCCTATTATTCTAAACTGTCCCTATGGGACTGGACTTGGGGAAGAGGTCCACTTGGCACAGATGGGCCCCAGGAGGCCACATCCACGGCATGGGACAGAAAGCTGAGGGTGCAGAGGGTGAGGCTAGGTAGGCCCTGGGTGAGGAGTGCAGAGCTGGGTCGGACAGGAGGCCAGACCTCCCCCTTTCCGGAGCTCTTTCTGCTCAGGTGAGCACGTGAAACCTGGTGCCACTGCTTGGCCAGCCGGGAGCCCAGAGCTGCCTTGTGTAGTGGCAAGACCAGGTGGTGTGGTCGGGGCTACCAGCGGAAGCGTGACTGAGTTCACGGGCAGACAGAATCTGACACAGGATGCCACAGAGAGGGTGTCCGGGGAGTTTGCCATGATGACTGAGGTCTGGGTCCCTGTTGGCGGTGGGCACCCCAGAAAATTCCACCAGGCCTGTGAGGGTGAGTGGGTGAGTGATAGGAAGGAGCAGATATGGATAGGCCCCCGTTGGATGGGCCCCAAGGACAACAACCTTGAACACTGTGCCCCATTCTGAGTGAATTGGGACCACAGGCCTACAGGGACCCATCAGATGGGGCCCAGAGACCCACCCTTAAAGCCATAGGGTCCCTTTTCTGCACACTCCCGTCAGCAGTCCTGGGCTGGCTCTCCCACCCCAGCCCTAGTGGGGCCTCCCTTGTCCTACCCGGGCTCATTTCCCTTCCTGATTGCAATCAGCCCAGTCTGCAGAGAAGGCTTTCCCTAGGCTGGGCTGATGTAAACACCAGCGGTAGAATCACTTTTGTACAGGAGGCCAGGCTTCTCCCAAGGGGTTGGGCATGACTATGGCCTGCAGAGAAGGAGGGGGTTCCTGTGATTTGACCTGAAGCAGCTCCTTTAGCACCAAGGCAAACCTCAAAGGAGACTCCCAGAGGAGGCCCAGACTCCTGGTTGCCCTGAGAGGTCACAGAAGCCCTGGGGAGGATATCCGGTTGTCCCCTCCAGCAGCAGCTGAGCAGACCCTCTGAAGCACGTTTGCTTTGTGGAATGTAACTGTGTTCTCTGCACAGGAATAAGCCCTGGCTTGCACTCAAAGGGTGTCTCCAGGGGGACTGGGCCCACTATCTCCTGCCTGGCTGTCCTGCTCCTTCCTCTGCCCACCATGGCCTCATCCCCCTGCCTCAGGGGCCCTCCGCTTTGGACCAGAAAGGCTTTGGATTCTCCCAACCTGTCTTTTAAGCCCAGGCTACCAGCCCCTTAAGGTTATCCCCAGGCAGTCAGCTCACAGACTCCCAACCAGGGCACCCTCCATGCCTCTGACCCCACCTCCCTAAGCCTTTAGGAGCTGACTTTGCCTCCTATTTCACAGGGGACACAGAAACCATTTTCCTCTCCTGCCACCAAACCAGCAGACACAATCCATTATACCCTCCCTGCTGGATGGACGGGGCCCACCCAGATGGCTTTTTCCTGAGCCCTCTGCTCAGGTGAGCATGTGACGCCCAATGCTGGGAGCCTTCCTGGTGTGCATGCCCCTCGGGCACTCACTGCGCTGGCCCGCCACCCAGCTGTCCAGCCCATTCTCAGCTCACCTCCAGCGGAGAGATCTCCAAGCTTCCCTGTCTGGAAAGATCCTTCTCTGACTCCTTGACTCCTCTAGCTGCCCCCATCTCTCCCCTTCCTTCAGAATAAAACTTCAAAGCATCTACTACCCTCTGTCCCACCTTCACTCATTCCTCAGCCCATCGCCACCAGCTTCTACCCTCACTACACACTAAAATGGCTACCCCAGAGGCACCAGTGTCCTCTGGTAAAAAATTCCAGTGGCTCCATCTTATCCTCACCGTACTGGCCCCCTCCTGCCAGCCTGCATCACCCCTTAATCTATTACTTTCTGGTGCTCAGCGTCTGGAATCAGACCTGCCTTCATTCAATCCTGGTGACGTCACTTCCTAGCTTTGGGGAACTCAGCTACCCTGAGCCTCAGTTTCTTTAGCTGTGAAATGGTGGTAATAATAATACCTGCCCCACAGGCTCACTGTAAGGATTAAATGAGTCAACCAGGGAAAAGCACTGAGTGCCCAGCATTTGCTAAGTGCTGCTCAGTGGACGTTAGCTGTTCGAGTCTTTACCTCCATGCAGTTCTCTGCCTCTGCACCAGAATCCACCCAGTGTAGCCTCCCCACCATTGATGGTCCAGAGAACTCCCCCACCCCCTCGCTGGCCACCCTGCTGTCCTGACTCTTCCTGGCCATTCTCCCCATAGTGGCTAGACTGGGCTTCCTGGAACCCACACTTTCCAGGGCCACACGCCTCCCTGGCTGAACACCCCACAATGCTTCCAATGCTCCTAGCATGAGGCCTAAAACCTCCTTCTCCTGATAGCCTTTGTATGTATTTTTAAAACAAGAGACAAATACTATAAATGCCAAAATTTCCAGCAGCAATACTCCGGTTTTCTTTACTATAATGCACTACAAAGTGAGGGCTTTAAAAGGAGCGTTTGCAGGAATGTTCAGCCTCCCTAGCTTCAAAATCGACTGAACTTTAAAATTCCCTTTTAAATTTCCCAATTTAAAGTTGAATTAAAAAAAAATAGAGGTTTTTCTCTGTAAGAAATCACATGTTTTGTGCTCTGGTTCCCTAAAACTTTTATATAGAAAATAACACCAACCCATGGTTGAATAGTGAACCCCCTGTGTCTCCGGGGCAAGGACCCCCAGCCCTACCCAAGCTGAGTACTTTCTATTGTTTTTTTCTGCTTTTAAGCTCAAAGTCTAATAGGGCAGACAGGAACAAATTGTGGTAATACAAGGAGCAAATGTTGTATGAGGCCTAAACAAATTATGTTGGGAGAGCAGATGATAATATCTCACATTTATTAAGCTCTTATGTTATGACTTGAGTATTTTATTTATTTATTTGTTAGAAAGAGAGAGAGAGGGCACACAAGCAGGGGGAGTGGGAGAGGGAGAAGCAAGGAGCCCGATGCAGGACTCGATCCCAGGACCCTGGGATCATGACCTGAGCCGAAGGCAGACACTTAACGACTGAGCCACCCAGGAGCCCAAGTTGAGTACTTTAAGTCAGAACTTCGGCAATGTCACGGGAATCCACCCGAGGGTCTTGTGAAAATGCAATTTTTGATTCAGAAAGTCTGGCGTGAGGCCAGAGCGTCTGCACTTCCAACAAGCTCCCCACTCAAGCAACAGTTCTGAGGTCCAAGATGAGAGGAGCAAGGCTGGCTGTCAGCCTCTCCCCACAAGACTGTGAGTTTCCGAAGGAGAGGGACCAACTCTGTTCTATTCCCAGGGCCTACACACAGCAACTGCTAATAAAAGTTTGTTGGATGAATGATGCCTAGTGAGTACCGGGCCGTAAGGTTCCCTGTGTGTTGCCTCATTTCACTGTGCCTCCGAGAGCCTCCCCATGCTCTGCGAGGATGCTCGGGGCCCAGGTCCGGGACCCTCCTGGCCTGTGGCTGAGCGGGGAGCCCTGCATACCAGCTACGGGCATTATTCTCTCAGCCCTGCCTTGAGCCACAGCTTCCTCACCTGCCTACTCTGAGGCCACATCCTGGTCCTTGTCTTTACCAGATCTGTTCCCTGCTCGGAGGCCTAAAACCCGCCCCCTGTTCCCCTGCCTCAGCATAACCTCCTATCCTTCATCTCCCCACCATGACTGTATCACATCTGGCTCTTCCATCCCGCCTCTCCTGTTCCACCGCCCCAGTCCTGGTTATCTCAAAGAAGTCTTCCCCACGCTCTGCCACGTGCACCCCTTTGCCAAAAGCCCCTGTCCTGGGCCTGCGGTGGGGCCTGACATGCCTCCTGGGGCAGTGGTCCCCCTCTCCCTTCAGGGGCTGCCTCTGGGCCCCCCACCCTCCTGGTTTCCCTGCTTCTTCTCCAGCTGCTACTCTCGTTCTCTAGGGCCTCCTCCACGGTCTATCCCTGCCCGCTT